AAAGCTGAAAATTAACTAATTATGCAAATTAGGTAATTAATACGCACAAATATTTATCCCAAAACAATCAATCTCTGCATAGTCCTTGAGGATCTATGTACCAAGTTTCATTGAAATGTAATGCTTACTACTTGAAACATCAAAAGCTGAAAATTAATTAATTATGCAAATTAGGTAATTAATATGCACTGACATTACCTTAAAAACTATCAGGTCTGTGCAGTGTCCTATGACATCTATGTACCAAGTTTCATTGAAATGTAATGATTAGTACTTGAGATATCAGTGGAAAAACAAAAAATTGACTAATTATTATGCAAATTAGGTAATTAGGTAATTTTTACCAAAAACTAATCAAAACCAAGCATTAGTTCAGAGCATCCATGTACCAAGTTTCATCAAAATCCAATAAGTGGTTCTTTAGATATCAATAGAACAGCTAAAAATTAGCTTATTATCATGCAAATTAGGTAATTAATATGCATGAAATTTTACCAAAACCTAATCAAATCTGCGCATTAGCCCAGAGCATCTATGCACCAAGTTTCATCAAAAACTGATGTATGGTTTTTGAGATATCAGTGGAACAGACGGACACACATACACACACACACAGACACACACAGACACACTAACCACAAAGACTCCCATTTTGTGCTTCGCACATGGGAGTCAAAAATATAATACACAACTATATGCACGACTCGTACATTACAAAAAAAGTTTTGAACAAGAACATGCATACATTTTTTTATGCTGTGTTGGTCACCATTCACAGTAGTGATTATAATAACCTACAAAAATAACTTTGTTGAATTGTTGTGAAATGCAAACAAAATTAAACTTAGTTTCATCATAAGCAAATGATTCCGGTCACAGGTATAAACGCTAGATGCTGTAAGATAACTGCCATGTTTTTTCTCTTGCATTAGTTGACAAGAAACGTGTACTTTGACCTTCCAGCACATGGTTCTGTAAATGCATGGTATTTGTGATAAATGTAATTTTTGTTGAAACTACACAACTGAAGTTTTAAAATAATTTATAAGAACTGGTGGGGTAATAAAACAAGCAGTCTATCGGCTGAGATAGCTCCGCTGTTAGCAATGCACATTTCAATTAAAGAACAGAACACATCATTAGAAAATGAACAATATGTATAGTATCAAAGCAATCAGACTTACAGTTTTTAACAAAAAGTCGAAAATATCACTTTCTACCAAAAATTACGAAAATATTCATCAAAATTAGAGAATTGAAGATATCATCACGAAATCAACTAATCTGAGAAAGGTCTACATGTAGTATCTATATATGTAATATCAAAGCAATTGAACTTTTGGTTTTTAACAAGAAGTCGAAAATATCACTTTTTATCAAAAATTGCAAAAATATTCGCCAAAATTAGAGAATTGAAGATATCAACATGAAATGAACAAACCTAAGAGAGGTCTACCCAAGGTACATATACACCAAGTATCAAAGCATTCAGGCTTGTAGTTTTCAAGTAGAAGTCGAAAAAGTAAAACATTGACACGGACGACGATGGACGACGGACAATCACTCATATGATAAGCTCCGCTTGACAAAGTCGACAGCGGAGCTAAAAAAATACATTCACTATATGAACTTATTTTTCCATCACCAACCGCCAGCAAAATTCCTCACCTGTGTTCGTCTGCAGATTTTAACACCAGAACTCTCCATAGATTCTGTTAGATTTTTACTAATCATAGCATCAAAATTACGAAGAACCTGAAAACATACATAACAAATTATTCTGTTTTTTTTATAAGTTAAACAACATGAAAGTGTACATTTCAAAACAGAATATCTACAATAATTTTGAAAGTTCCTACATGGTCTCAGAATTGAATGTTACAAAAAATGGATATATACAATATATATTTGTGTCCAAGCATACAAGATCATTTGGTAGACATTCAAAAGCCAATCATAGCAAAGTAACACTGTTATAGTTGAAAGTGTCTATCATCTCAACAAGTTTTTTCTTATTTTCTGTATCACATTATATTATATTATGAATGTTCTGATAAAATAAACAAATTCTAAGAAAACAAAGACAAGAACCGTTTTTATCTAGGCCTAAGCTATATGAAATATCTATTTATAATAATATTCAGTTACCTGATCAAAACGAATACAAATAGACGTATCAGATCCCAATGTATTCAAAATCCCTGCCATTTCTACAGCAATATACCCAGCACCTACTACTACAGTTTTTCTAGAATATGAGGAAGTAAATAAAAACATTTTAAATATGTGGTCTTTCAATTCTAATTTGACAAATGCTGCATGGTCTCCAGCACAAAATCATGAGGTATAACAAGTTCATAAGAGAAGAAAAGAATTAGAAAAATAAAACTTAATAGCAAATTGAACAGTGAATACTAATTTAACAAAATTTGCAGGGACTGCCCTACAATATGACAATTATCAAGCATACCACATAATATCAATAATTATTATAATTATACATACTTTGGTAGATCTGTCAATTCAAAGAATCCATCACTTGTAATCCCATGTTCAGATCCTACATGTATGTCACAAAATAAGATTTATCTAAATTTAGTGGATACCATAAAAATATTAGAAAAAAAATTACATAAAAATACATCATTTGTGAATGAAGGCATGGTAGTTAACTTTATGTTTGCACAACACGTGTTGGCATTAGGTTTTACACTGTCAAAAATATTACGAATTATCCATGTTACTATGGTGACAGAATAAAGTTGTATTTTTGTTTTTAGATTTAATCTGAAGATGGACTAAAACATCTTCAAAACAAGTTTTCCTATCATTCTAAAGGGAATACTGGCAAAAATACCTGAAATATTTATAAAAAAAAAACAACATTTTATTGGCCAATGAAAAAAAATTATCCTTGGCCGAGATACCTCTGCTGCTAGCAATGCACATTTTACAAGCAATCAGTATTATCGTATAAGAAAGAAGACCTGTAATAATAATAATAATAATAATAATAATAATAATAATAATAATGTTTATTCAACCTTTGTATCGGCAGCATGAAAACAGTAATACATATATTTAAATTACATTTATCATTTCTTTTCTATATTGCCATAAATCAGTTACATATTTCCTAATTAAAGCTGATGAGGTATTTCCCACATTTTCATTTATGTTCCATAGTGTATCACCAAAAAGGAAATTGAACCTATAATTGAACCCCCCTGAAAGAAAA